TACACTGCAGGGAGAAGCTCAGGCATTTTGGATTTTTATCCTCAATTTTTCTAAAGGGACTGTGCTTTGCTTGTCTCTGAGATTAAAATCTGTAAACAACATACTTTTTCAGAGCAGTGCCAGGTTTCTTATAGCATATCAAAGAGACAGGCAGATCATTCAAGAGGTCTCTAATCCTGTATGATGATGTGCTTTTTTCCCTATCTTTTTAATTTTAAGAACTTTGGCTTTATCAGCCCAGAACTACGCAGAAATAGAGACATGTCAGCCATGAACAGTATGTGTTCCTCATCTCACTCATGCATGTGGATGTTGGGTTGCAACAGGGAGTAAGCCATACCTTAAGTCCTTATTACACATTTTATAGAAAGATTTGAGGCAGTGATTGGCAACCTAAATCACTGTATTAAATCTTTCTAGATCATGAATCATAAAGTGTAACTATATTGCTGTCAGTCAGAAAGGAGAAAAAAATTAAGCCTAGAGCTATACTTTATTAAACACAGCTCTGATGCAGACACAGGTGCCTTTAGAGTCAGATTTAGTGAAATAATAAGTAATACCATAATATTGCCAGCTTTCAGCAGTTTGGTCCCCCAAATCTTCATTCTGATTTCTTATACTGAAACCCTTTTGCTCAGGTTTTAGGTAAGTACCTATGGTAAACAAACTATGTATGTAAGGGTGAGCAAGCACAACATATAGGCACACAGAGTGTTAACTCCTTATGGAAGACAATGTCTTCACCTAAGTTTCTGTTTGTTAAATTCCTCTTAGAGGGTGGATGGGCAGCTGTTGTACACAAGCATTAAACACTCCCAGTTTTTCACAGTCAAGTTGTAAATATTAAAACAACTTAAGAGTTTCTTGGTTAGTTCAGTGCATGCCTGTGCAAATTTCAGTGAAAGTTTTTGAAAAATAAAATTAAAGGAATGTAAGGCTATCTGGCAAGAAGAAAGAGTGCAAGTCCATCAAATTGTGCAGCAATGACTATTCTGGAGTGTTTTATAGCTCTTTTAAAAGAAAATATGCTTCTTCTGTGAAGAGGCAAACATACATACAAACAAATAACAATAATATCCTTGATGTTACGAGAATTTATTTTATTTGCTTCTAAAATCTTCTGATTCACCCTGGAATCTGCTAAAGCAGTCTGGCCAAAGTTTTGTTGTTTTTCATTTCTCCTCTTCGAATACTGCCTTTGTAAATTTTTTCTAAACTTCTTAGAATTAATTCCTGAAATGAATGATACTGTTTTGCTTTGTGTGAATATGCTGTTCCATTCAGTGGACCTCCACTCCATGCAAACATCTTGAAAGAGTAGTGGAAACATAGAGCTAGAAACAGAACACAAATGGGAAGTCGTTTTTATTTATTTTGTCATTTCTTAGTCTCCTAAAAAAAAAAAAAAAGGTTTTGTAATTGAGCTACCAACTCAGGAGAAAGATTTGCATTTTAATTGTCTTCTATTGTTTAAAAGTTAAGCAATATCAGGAAAAGCTTCAGTTTGAAGTTACTAGCATTTTTGACTGTTGTGTCTGATAGTTTCTGTATCAATAGCAATTATTGAGGCTTAATGACTATGATAATGAAATAAGTGTATGTATATGGTTCTGCCTGAAGTCCACTATGAACACCTTTTGTTTTCACTATTTCTTTGGCTAATATTTTGGTCATATTTCTCGTGTTCAACAGGAATAAGGTTCACAGTGCTTTGAATGAAAACTTGGGTAGCTTTAAAGGTTTGAAAGTAGGGCATCAGTCTGTATGACTCATGTCTCTGTTATAATAAACCACATCAGTCTGGAAGTACCTCTGGGTTGTTCAATGATGTCTCTTTTTGTGATGTCATGTGATGAATCTAGGTATTACATCCACAGAAAAATAGTGACCAGGGAATGTTCTTCAGTCTCTTTGATCAAAAGTACATCAAGCAAGAAGTAATTTCTTTAAACTTCATCCTAGCAATTAATGACCTTTGCTTTTCTCTTCTCTTCTATTCTATTATTCTAAGACTTCTGCTATCCTTCTCTCTGGCTGTGGTATGAACTTGTACATTATGGATGTTTGTACAAATATGACTGCAAGTGTTTAAGACAGAAAGTCTCTCAATAGGTGAAAAAAATAACTGAAACCCATTTAATATGCTAATATTCCTTTCCAGAGCTAAAGCCATAAACTTGTACCTTGGTTTCATACATAGTTCCAGATATTTTATGTGACTTCTGTGAATTTTGTCTAAAGGCATTAACTAGTTTAATTAGCTAAATATATTTTTTCTTTTGTGTGTATTTTGAGCATTGTTGGAATGGATTGAGACATGATTGATATACTTTTGTGTCCATTTCAACGTGTAGCTATTTTAAATAGAAAAAGTAACATGAAGATACTCTTGTGAATACTGATTTTTATGTAAAGATGACAAGTAAAAGATTCATCACTGAAAATTCTTTTTTCATTCCACAAAACTTAGATAAACATGGCCTTTATGTGTACCTATATATTCAAATATGTTTGAATAATGAATGATATAATCTATGAGTAGTATATTAATAACTTACAATAAGATCATTTTCTAGGAATGAATATTTTCTTAAGGAAAGTCTATAACAATATCCTAGAAACTGATTAAGATCTTGTGCGGTATTTCAATGCAGTGTCCACTACTCACCTCTTATGTGCTCCCAAATCTACTGATGTGATTCATAGATTTCTTTCTCACATAAAGACTCTATCATCTCTGTGCAGAAACAATACCCATATTGCTTTTGCTTCTTTCAGTGCTGCATTCCAGGCAATGCTTGGAATAAGATCTTTCTCTTCCCATGCACTCTCTTTAGATATTCAGCAGTCCCAACATTTTTCCTATCCAGTTTCCACAGCATAGACATGAGGGATTTTTGTCTGGGACCTTCACAACTGTTGTATCTTTGTTTGGCAAATCTCCACTGGTAGCAAGTATAGGTGTTGAGGCAATGGAGGAAATTGAGCCATGGCTCCTGGGGACAAGGATTCCTCCCTCACCTCATTTTCTGCCTCTGTGGAGAGTGGGCTGCTGGTAGTGCCCCTGAGACTCCAAGAGGTAGGCACTTCATACACCTCTGGCAGCTTGGCCACACTGTCATTCCAGGTGGTAGGATGACACCATTCAGTCTCTTGAGTTAATAAACTCTAGTCCGCTCAGATCAGTTTCCTCTTCCACCAGTCTCCTGTGGACTCTGATGCTTCTGCTGACCACTTCATCTCACAAGTCCAGTGGACTTTTTTGTGTGGCTACCCATATGAATGTAATCTGCATCGGCTGACCCATATTATCAATTATAATGTGAGGGTATACATAAGATGGACAGCACTACACTCAAGAACTGCCAGACTAGGCCCAACTATATAGTCATGGGCACAGGCTCTGGGCAATGGTACAAAATCAATGCCAGAATTTGTTTCACCTTTGTAAAAAACTATTGAATGGTCATTGAAGCCAGGTGATAGGGAGGAAGGAACTATAACTCGATCACCCTGAAGCAGAGTCTAACTTGGTTACCCTTAAGGGCATCCAGCAGGACCATAGGAAGGTGTAGCCGCTACAGGTCTAATTGCAAATTAGATTTTGTATTTTGTTGTTGTAAAACTGCCAACAACAATATTTGTATATATGATATCTAATTATCAAAAAAATTAGCTGTTTCCTCAACAGTTGGCTTTGTTTCTCTGTTGCTGGATGCTGCCTATAAATAATTAAATACATAAATAATCAACACATATTTATTATTTATCTAAAGGAAGTGGCAGAGTTTTAGAAAGCAAATCAAGAAAATCAAGTAGCATGCTGAAGACTTGCTCATGCATTGAAATGAGTCGATTTCTGAGAAAGGAAATCTAGACTTTTAGATCTGTCACAGGTCATAGTGTTCTTCTGTGGGGGCAGGAAACTACACCTGTACATGCGTATATCTATGTGAATACATTTGGCTCTTAGTATCATACTGACATTTAAGAGTTCATTTTCTGTTTTGACAGAGGTGCACTTCAGATTCTAAAAACTTAGTCATTTTAAAACAGTACATTATGCTAGCAAAACTATGCCAGTGTGGGTGATGCCTAACCTAGGAAAATATTTCTGGTACCCATATGAGTTGCATCAGTGATGTGCCTGCCCGTAAGGGAAAAAAGCCTTACCTGGAATTTTGTTTGTATGATTGATTGCATATTATGAGATTTTACCAGAACGGCTCTGTTGGTCAGAAATTGCACTTCACCTCATCTTTGGCTGACAGACCTAAGGAAAAAAATGTGTGCAGAGATGTACCTGGCCCAAATGAGAATATAAATCCACTGCCTGATCCTGGAGCATATGAATTTCCCTTTGACTCTACTCTTCCATGATTATGCACTTACCCAGAGGCTGATGAATGCTGCTTTTCAAAGCTGCCATGCCATCATCAGTTGCTAGAGCATTTGCTTAGCTATTTTTGTAATACAAACATGAATTTGTCAAGCTCTGACAACTATATGAAAGTACCCAACTGCTGGTTTAAGCATCCTTAGGCACCTGAATTTTAAAATTACTGTAGCTGACCTTCTTTCCATAAATTTAGCATGTCTGCTGGTCTGAATAGTATATAAGTTAATGGATGCCTTCAGACTGAGAAACTAGCTAAAAATACCCAATAAGGCTTATTCATTATTATGAACAATGCTGCTAACATTCAGTTAAATAACTGTGTCAAAAAGCACTGCCTCAGAAGTCTGTAACCTTCTGTAATTGTTTGGGTTGGCATGCATTTGTTATTGATGGGAAAGCATGCGCTGTTCATGGATATGTTTGTTGTATGGTTCAAGGTAACTGTATGTGTTGAAGAGTTTAGTGATACACAAAGCATCTGTTCTACTGGATCTTAGACGGTTTACAGCTTTTATACACTGAAGCAGTGTTTTATGCCTGGATCTTGTACAACTTGCAAAGACCTTGATGCTAATGATATAAATTAATTTCCTTTCAGTATAACAGCTGGTATTTGGATGGTCGAGGGATAAAACCTCTCCTCTGAAACTTGCAGAACACTTCTGGTTTAGTCATAGAGCCACCATGAACAAGAATACCTGTAGTCTACACGGGAGGAGCAAAAGTGTGAGTAGAAGGTTTTCTTTTCCTTACTTCCATTTTTATTGTCAGTATTCTTCCATATTACTTATGTGTTATGTTATCCTTTCAAATACCATTTTCTGAGTAGGATAGCAACTGTGATAAAATCTTTCTGGTACCCCATTCTTCTATCTGTAGCTTAAATTAATATGTGATGTCTTGCACACAGAGATAAGATTGCTGAATAGTAGTATGTTTTTGAATTACTTTTTGTGAGACATTAATTTTCAAGGGTGTATTTTACAGAGTTATTAAAAGAGATTTTTTTCTTGAGCATTCATTGAAATATAAGCTCACACATTATTTACACTGTACTCAGTCATTAATGTATGTCCCTGCACTGATGGTGGTAACAGGGACTGCACTCGGTTTGTTAATGCATTGTTGAAATATTGACTGTGTAACCCTCCAGCAGATCAATGAAAAAATATACTAACAACATACGCATTGATTTGGGTGAGGCTTAATTTTATTTGTTATCTGGTTTTTGTGGTAGTTTGTTTTTGTTTTTTTTTTTTTTTGTCCTATGTATGTATGTCTCCTAGTATCCAAGAGTGTTACTGAAACAGAGAAGCTCAGATGCTACTGCAGCCTTTTCCATCTTTCAGATGCTCATGGAACAACACTGGTTGTTGTATACCATTGGTATTATATACCAACAACTCTGCTTCACAGGCACAGATGAAAACTGAATATTCCTTTCTGATATGCTACTGCTACATTTCAGCTGTTGAATATGCCCCTTCTCATAATAGACAAGGACATTTTATTTAGATACTTTGATAAGTGATAATAGGAAATAAAAGTTCTAGGGTGCATCTACAAGGACACTGCATCTACAAGGACAGAGGATACATATGGTTATATTTCCGTGTTTTCTGAGGGGCTCCCAGCTTGTATGTAAAATAATTTACTTGAGAAATATTCCAGGTTACTCTGGATCCAGACTTTTTATCGTCCAATGAGTTTCTTCCACCTTGCCCCATCCTGACATTGAGACTGCTGTCTTTGCTTTGTCACCACTAATGCCTTGGTGTGTTTGCTTCCTTCTCCCCTGTGCTGTCTCAGTTTTCTAATCCAACGTGATTGGCTGTGGGACCAAGAGGATGAGTTTAGTTGACTTTATCCAGAACTGCTCAAATTCCTCCCTGTTCTCTCAGGTATGGGACAGCAGCGCAGACATTTCTGACCAGGGCTGGTGTGGAGCTTCCTCAGTGTGGCAGGCTGTACCTGCTTCAGCTCCTGGCTGTGGGAACAGTTGCTCTTTTTGGCTTATTCTTATTTTTTTTTTAAATATCTATGTAGATAACTTTTTCTTCACTGTAAGTTTACTGTACATGCTATCAGCATATGTATGTACAATCATAGGGAGAGTGACAGAAGTATGTTAAATTCATCATGGTGCCACAGTTTGATATGTGTGTATCAAATAAACAGCCTGATATGCCTCAACAAACTGGAGACAGGTATTCAGAGTGCTTAATAAAGCTTCACTTTTGCTGTCACCTGATCTGCTGACGAATTATGTGAAGCATGAGGCTGTCCATATAATTTTTAACAGACTGCAAAGCATAAAATTTTAATGTTAGCTGATCTAATGAGATTGGGTCAAATCTGGGTAAAAGACCAGCATTGTTTCAGTTTAAGTTAACTGAATGAATTTTTATCAAATATATTTGTATTAATTCAAAGGCTCTTAATATTTAAGTACAAATGTGCTGGTATATATTTTGTGAAATTAAGTTCCTGAAGTTCAGCAAGCATATGACCCTGACTGAGAATTTCAGGCCTTGAATGAGAATTTTTTAACCTACAAAATAAACTTCCTTATTTTTAGTGTTAAAGCCTAGCACATGTTGCTGTGTGAACTTAACCACCTGAGGCTATTTTTTCTTAAAATAGGTATATAAAATATTTCCTACTCTCTGTCTGTTGTTTTTTAAATTGCAAAATATGCAATCCCTAAGAAATTATTTTAAACCATGTGATAGCATGCTATTTAAATAATTCCTTGACTACTTCTCACAGGGGGACAGTGGCACTATTTGAAAAAAGTGACTTTGGTTAAGTGTCTCATTACACTTGTTGAGTACAGCCAAAGATTTCATATTACATGATGGTGACATTGAATTTTTTACCTTCTACATGTCTGTCAGTTTGAATTTGCATTGTCAAAGTTATCCATGGTCTGCCAGACCAGTCATTTCATCAAAAGACCACCTAATGAATAAGTAAAAATGTCAGTGAACTGAATAATCTTAAAAATAAAAATGGAATATGGCTTTTATTTTTATTTTGTGGTATATTGTCACATAGCTTTCAAAGAGATTTTTATGTTTCTACGAAGCATGTCAATCAAAGTCTTGGTTCAGTGGTTTCAGATGTCACTGAATATAATTTATCTAATATTGAAGATGATCTGCAGATATGTAAAAACATTTTGTTTTTTCACAAAATGTAGAACTAACTGTACATCATGAATTATCAGAAGCTTGGTTCAATGGTGTAGAATAATAGAAATTGCAGATAGTAAAGGTAAAAACATTAACATTTCCTGATTTTTCTGACAATAATAGTGTTTTTCAAAAAATCATTTGCAAGTGATCTTGTCCTGCAAAATATGTTAATACTTATTTTTATACTTCCTCTAATAGATTTTTATTCCATTGCTTGTGCTTCATGTCCTCAGACAGCACAATATGTATAATCTTGCTAGTCCTCTGCCCTTTCCCTGGCTGATTTGCATGGTATTGTTATTCCTTCTGTTGGCAGCCTATGGAGTTGCATTTAACTGTAATAACTGTTTGTAATAGGGGTTTGTATAGTAGTCAGCTCTTTCACTCTTGCTCACAGCATTCAGTGAGGATGTCTGCACTTATGTCCTTTCAGTCTGTGTGTACTATTTGTATAGTCCCTCTTAGTTTCCTTAGGTAGCTTTTTGTTTCTTTAAATAGTTTCCTCATAAATAAATTCCCCTTTTCCTGAAATGTCTATTTTTCTGGTGTCTCGAACTGCTTAGAATATTCTAGGTGTTTTACTGCTTTAACTTCCATGACTTACCATCTGGTACTTCTGAAAATATAGCTAAAGTTGTTCTTTCCCTTACTCCCTCCCTCTATCTAATTTGGTTCTCTCAGTGCTGCTTATAAAGTTACTTCTAGTATAGGATAGGGGTTTTAGTTAGTGCTGATCAGCAATGAAAAGACCTTTTAGAGTATTTTTTACAATAAAACACTGAACTTTATTATTTGTGTTTTAGAAGGGCTTCCTATTATTTTAGTAACTGGATGAACAATGTATTTCTACACAGCGCTTTATGAATTTCCACATAATTTGTTCTTTATAAAAGAATAAATACACTATAAATTGGTATTTTTAAAACAAAACTTTCAGCCTATCTTCAGTTAAATTAGCACAGCCTTACTGATGATTAATACACCAGCAATATTAAATAATTTTTGAATAGAGTATCACAATAACTAGATTGGGAGTATACTGGAGGTATACTTGGTCAGCTAAAGGAAGTGAGATTCCACTTTCAGGTGATGAGTGCTGGTGTATGTGAAGAAAAGAATAAAATCTGAATGTTACATTGTGTGGGTGTTCATCTTGGAACATTGTGTCAGAAGTGAGTCAACTCTTGTGAAATCAGAAAGTAGATATTGCAAGAAAATGAACCAACCAAAGGATATGTTTAGCAACTGGGCCTGCTTAAACTGTGGAATTTCAACAGCTTCAACAACCACCTAAAAAAAAGGAGCAGGGACAGAATTAGAGCTTCAACAGTATTTGGTCAGCCTTTTAATTTAAGAAGACCTGTAAAAGTATGGAAGTGTGAGACTGTTTTGAATTCATAAATATTACATATAAAAGGAGCATTTTCAAAAACTATAACTTCTGGATAAACGACAGATTACTAGTAGGAGAAAAAATAGCTGTCTTATTCTACGAGGAAACCTTTAAAAGCAAAGTTCTGACTACTGATGGGATCAAATAAGACTGGATCTCAAAAGGGACTGCTCAGAGAGATTGCAGCAAAGCTCCTGAGGGTTTAGCTGCATGCTGGAGTTGCGGGGGGAGGAGGTGGTGCGCGGGGGAGGGTGCCGGCCGGGTGGGCGCCGGAGTGGGCTGCAACTAGTGCGAATGCAAGGCAGACGTGGAGCACCCATAGAGATGAAGCACAAAGGAAGGCGAAGAGCTATTTGCAAACAGCTGACTCACTGAGATGTTTTCATCCAGAGTATTTACGGCTAGATAGTCATAACCTTTGCTTGTGATGTGGGGGAGTGAAAAGGAAGTTAAAGATTTCCTTAATTCCTATGCCCATTTCTGTTTAGATTATGACTCACAGAGATGACAAGAGCCAGGGGCTCTTGGTCCACCACTTCTGTAAGCAAATGGTCAGGGAGAGGGAATGTCATCCTGTCCATCCTAGCGAAACCCAGTACACCCCTCTGCCCACCAGCTAGCGTAGCTATTCAGCAACAGGGTAAGAGTAGAGTGATGTTGTAGCTCTCCACAGAGACTGTGAAGGAATTGCAAATTAGTTCAATTCCAGGTCCTTTTCTGTCACAGTGCAGTTGTATCAGACAGCAATTCTTGCTTTAGGTCAATAGTTCTAAATAACCAATTCGTCAACAGAAATGGGAGAAGCTTGCAGTGTTCCAGAAGCATTTTTCATAATAAATTTGCATTACTTCCAAAGAAATTGATTTTTCTCTCACTGCCAATGGTTAGCTCCATTTGTTACCTGATAGAAGGACACTTAGAGGGAGATTGCTTGAACTAACTATTAATGGGAAGCAATTACATTATGCATTCTTTGCCTTATTCCAACCCTTCATCTGTAATACAGCCTTTGCAAAGGAAACAAGGAATAGAAAAGGGAAAGGTGGGACACTGCTAAAGGGCAAATTGAAGCCCATTCAGGGATGCTACTTTACCCCTAATGTCAGTTACTGTGGTTGCCTGGCAGAATATAAATT